CTTCATAAAACTTGATGAAGTCTAACAGAGGCGGAGCGTTGTTTCAAAAAAGACTTGTTCGACCCAAATTATGTTTTTTTTGACTTCATGGGCAGTACGGTATTGGGTACAGTGTCCCATGACTTGTAAAGATCGATTGTTGTGTTTTGTTGTGTTGTGTGTGTGTGTGTGTGTGTGTTGTGTTGTGTGTGGGTTTTGTGTGTGTATGTGTGTGTGTGTGTTGTGTGTGTGTGTGTGTGTGTGTGTGTGTGGTGTGTGTGTGTGTGTGTGTGTGTGTGTGTGTGTGTGTGTGTGTGTGTGTGTGTTTACATTCCCTTTTTTTTTCTAAATTCAGATCCAATTTACCTAATTTTAAGTAAAAGTAAGGTTGTGATGGGCATCTTAGTTGCTCTTCTCATTCTGTAACTTGTCTTGGCAGTGTCTGACACATTTCATCCTCAGATTTAGCATATTGTTTGTCTTCTTAGATACTTTGTATTTTGTCTTGTAATTATGATTGCTTTTACTCACTTTGACATGACATTTGGTTCTGACTTGTTCCTACCTACTGTTTCGTTCTAACTTGTTCCTATCTGCTATTTGGTTCTGATTTGTTCCTATCTGTTATTTATTTCTGACTTGTTCCTATCTATTATTTGTTTCTGACTTGTTCCTATCTATTATTTGTTTCTGACTTGTTCCTATCTATTATTTGTTTCTGACTTGTTCCTATCTATTATTTGTTTCTGACTTGTTCCTATCTATTATTTGTTTCTGACTTGTTCCTATCTATTATTTTGGTTTCTGACTTATTCCTATCTTTATTTGTTTCTGACTTGTTCCTATCTATTATTTGTTTCTGACTTGTTCCTATCTTTATTTGTTCTGACTTTTTCCCTATCTATTATTTGTTTCTGACTTGTTCCTATCTAATTTTGTTTCTGACTTGTTCTATCTATTATTTGTTTCTGACTTGTTCCCTATCTATTATTTGTTTCTGACTTTTTCCCTATCTATTATTTGTTTCTGACTTGTTCCTATCAATTATTTGTTTTGACTTGTTCCTATCTATTATTTGTTTTGACTTGGTTCCTACCTACTATTTGTTTCTGACTTATTCCTATCTATTATTTGTTTCTGACTTCTTAATATTATTTATTTCTGACTTGTTCCTACCTACTATTTGTTTCTGACTTGTTCCTATCTATTATTTGTTTCTGACTTGTTCCTATCTATTATTTATTTCTGACTTGTTCTCATCTATTATTTGTTTCTGACTTGTTCCTATTATTTGTTTCTGACTTGTTCCTATCTATTATTTATTTCTGACTTGTTCTCATCTATTATTTGTTTCTGACTTGTTCCTATTATTTGTTTCTGACTTGTTCCTATCTATTATTTGTTTCTGACTTGTTCCTATCTATTATTTGTTTCTGACTTGTTCCTATCTATTATTTGTTTCGACTTTTTTCCTATCTATTATTTGTTTCTGACTTGTTCCTATCTATTATTTGTTTCTGACTTGTTCCTATCTATTATTTGTTTCTGACTTGTTCCTATCTATTATTTGTTTCTGACTTGTTCCTATCTATTATTTATTTCTGACTTGTTCTCATCTATTATTTGTTTCTGACTTGTTCCTATTATTTGTTTCTGACTTGTTCCTATCTATTATTTGTTTCTGACTTGTTCCTATCAATTATTTGTTTCTGACTTATTCCTATCTATTATTTGTTTCTGACTTCTTAATATTATTTATTTCTGACTTGTTCCTACCTACTATTTGTTTCTGACTTGTTTCTACCTATTATTTGTTTCTGACTTGTTCCTATTATTTGTTTCTGACTTGCTAATATTATTTGTTTCTGACTTGTTTCTACCTATTATTTGTTTCTGACTTGTTCCTATCTATTATTTGTTTCTGTCTCCTGTTTACTGTTCCTGTTCACACTTTTGTAATTTATCACACAAGTATATTGACTTCTGTCATGTGTATGACTGTGGTTTAGGTTCCTGGTTGGAATGAATTGTCATACTCAGAAGGAAAACTCTAAACCCGTGGGGGGTCATACAGCGCCTAGTGAGTGGAAGGTAATCAGGCTTAGTACAAGAGGAAGACAAGCTCCACTTTCTCGGATCAAGATCCCATCGCTAACATCAAGGTATCATCCTTTGAAGAATCTGACTTCTGGTCTTTTTTCTCGTTCTGATTTCAAGACGACATTTATTGTTTTTGTAATTTCTACGATTTGTTTCAACTTAGACATACGATAGTTTTCGTTGGTATTATTGTCATCGCACTGATGCTATTTTTTGATGTTTATATTAAGGTGTTCGACGGCTTGGAGCCGTATTAACCGAGTTGCAGGAAGTGTGTTGTGTTAGACACAACCCATCCTGCCCGTGGCGTACTGGTACGAACAAGTAACACGTACAGTGTAGACCCGAACGTCTAGATCAATGCCAAGGCCGTCAAGCATTGAAAGTGAACGACTAGATCAATGCCAGGGCCGTCAAGCATTGTAAATGAACGACTAGATCAATGCCAGGGCCGTCAAGCATTGAAAGTGAACGACTAGGTTAATGCCAGGGCCGTCAAACATTGAAATTGAACGTCTAGATCAATGCCAGGGTCGTCAAGCATTGAAGGTGAACGACTAGGTTAATGTCAGGGCCGTCAAGCATTGAAAGGGAACGTCTATCAATGCAGGGTCGTCAGCTGAGGGAACGACTGGTAGTCGGCCGCAAGACAAAACACGATCTTACTCAATGCCAGGGTCGTCAGATTTGGAAGGTGAACGACTAGGTTAATGTCAGGGCCGTCAAGGACAAACTGCAGGATGTTAGAACTTCTCTTAGTTAGATCTTGGGTAAGTGTGCTACCTAAGTGATACCTGAGTGTGCTACGTGAGTGCTACCTGAGTGTTACCTGAGTGCTACCTGAGTGCTTCCTGATGTGTTGCCTGAGTGCTACCTGAGTGTGCTACCTGAGTGTGCTACCTGAGTGCTACCTGAGAGTTACCTGAGTGCAACCTGAGTGCCACCTGAGTGCTACCTGAGTGCAACCTGAGTGCTACCTGAGTACAACCTGAGTGCTACCTGAGTGTTTCCTGAGTGTGCTGCCTGAGTGCTACGTGAGTGTTACCTGAGTGCACCCTGAGTGCTACCTGAGTGCAACCTGAGTGCTTCCTGAGTGCTACCTGAGTGCTACCTGAGTGCTACATGAGTGCTACCTGAGTGCTACATGAGTGCTACCTGAGAGCTACCTGGGTGATACCCGAGTGCAACCTTAGTGCTACTTGAGTGCTACCTGACTGCTACCTGAGTGCTACACGAGTGCAACCTGAGTGCTACCTGAGTGCTACCTGAGTGCTACCTGAGTGTTACCTGAGTACAACCTGAGTGCTACCTGAGTGCTACCTGAGTGCTACCTGAGTGCTACCTGAGTGCTACCTGAGTGCTACCTGAGTGCTACCTGAGTGCTACCTGAGTGCTACCTGAGTGCAACTTGAGTGCTACCTGAGTGCAACCTGAGTGTTTCCTGAGTGCTACCTGAGTGCTACCTGAGTGCTACCTTTTTTGCTCCCTAGTGTCCCTGAGTGTCTATTTTGAGTGCTCCTGAGGGCTACCTGAGTGCTCCCGTGAGTGTTTCCCTTTTGGGTGCTCCCTTTAGTGCTACCTAAAGTTTTGCTACCTGAGTGTCCCTTGGGTTCCCGAGTGGCTTTAGTGTTCCGGGAGGGTGCTACCTGAGTGCAAATTTGATTTGTGTACCTGAGTGAAACTGTGGATCCCCCGGGTGCAACCTTGGGGGGGCTACCTGAGTTTGCTAATTTTGAGGGGATTGGGGAAATTCTCCCTGGGGGGGCTAATCCTAAGTGCTCCCTGATTTGTACCCTGGGGTGCTCCTGATTTTCTACCTGAGTTTTACGGGAGGGGGGCTACCTGGGGGGTTGTTTTAAAACCCAATTTGCCCCTTTTATTTGTTTACCTGGGGGTTCTTGGGG